TTTTCCAAATAATATTTAACATTATTATATACTGGAAGCTGTTACATAAGTATTTTTCAATCTTCTGTTTTCTAGTGTAGCTTTATTGTATAATGTATAAATTACATAGAAGTTATATCACAAGTTATAAACAAATGCAGTAAAACTTTAAAAATAGCAAGTATGTATCATCTAATTAAATTGCTATATTTGTCCTTGTAATCTCGTAAATTCATGTACACTCCTTTTCTTTCTTTCTCTTGATATATATCTCATGACATGAATGCTAAGAACAACAGCATTCTTTTATAGTTCCTCCAAAAAAAGTAGTTGAATTATTAAAAAAATAAATTTATATGTTATATGAAGACATAGTTTAAAAGAATTCATTCAATCTAAAAAGAGTGAAATTTTCTCCTACACTTTGCCATTAACCTCACTCTCCAGAACTAACTGTTCTCAGCTATTTTAAATGCTTCTAAAACAGTTTTTGTTTCTTTGCTTTTGTTCTTGCATTTGCCCTCATTTCTCATTAACATGCTTTTACTGTGGGTTGTAGACATGAAGAATAGTACATATCCACTGTGGTTTTGCTTTCTATGGTTTTAGTTACCTGTGGTCAACCACGGTCTGAAAATATTAAGTGGAAAATTCCAGAAATAAGCAACTTATAAGATTGACATAGCTTTTATTGCAACATACTGTAATAATTATTCCATTGTACTAGGAGTTGTTGCTGTTAATCGCTTTCTCTGCCTGCTTCATAAGTTAAAGTTCATCATAGATACATAAGTATAAGAAAGCAAAAACATTGTATGCACAGAATTCTGTACATCTCTGTTCCCACCGTTCACTAGGGCTCTTGGGAGTCATCCAAGTTCCTGCTGTATTGACTTTTTGTTAGGAGTATTTTGCTGGATCACACACACACACACACACACACACACACACACACACACACACACTCACTCACTCACTCTCTTCTTTCTGCTGCTTTTATAATTATATGAAAATTTAGAATTGAATCAGTAGTCATTGTTATTATGTTGTTATGACCATATAAATAGAGTTAGCTCCTGAGTAGTATATTACAATTTTATTTCTCTTATTAAATAGTTAATTGTTTGTATTTCTTCTGGTGGCCTCCCTCTCGCCCCCCCCCCCCCCCCCCCCCCCCCCCCCCCCCAGCCCCTGCCTGAGCCCCAGCTCAGTTTTCTTATTTTTCTGGTGATGTGTCTACAATGGTTTCTACATCTGTAGTGCATTAAGTGGTAATCAGTGCTGGTTCCCCTGGAGTTGGCTCTCCTTTTGGCTCCATCCTTCCCTGCCAGGTGCCTGCCTGCCTCTAGACCCCATGCAGTCACCTGGGTTTGCTTTTGCTGCCTTCCTTAAATTCCTGGATCTCAAGTGTGTCTGTCTGATTTTCTCCCCTCCCCTCCCCTCCCCACCTATAAACAGAAGTGAGTGGCCTTTGGTTGAGGGGCTCCAGTGGACAGTACTTGCTGGTCTTTTCTTGGGACTAATCAGCTGCTCTAGAGATGATTTCTGTGTCTTCCATTCCTGGGGCAGGCTTCCATTTCTTCCCTTGTTTTCAGCAAACAGTTCTCACTTCTCTGATTCTGGAGTTTCCCTTATCCCTTACCCTTCACTCCCCTTCCCCCACCCCCAGATAACCCAGGGTGGGCATGGAGGGAAACACACATTAACTTCTCTCCCCAGATATTAAAAAAACAGTCAGTTGAGGCTTATGTAAATAAAGGTCTGAAAGATGATGACTGTAAAAATCACCCAGAAAAGATCTTTGAGGAATTCATAGAGGAACTTCTTAAAAGTTAGACAACTAAATTCCTTCTTTTTTTGTTTTGAAATGAAAAAAAACCCAACAAGTTTGTCCCACTGGACAGTTATTACCCCAGATTTTAGTTTCCCAGGTCTGGCCTATATTCTGTAGTATTTCTTCTGTTTAAAGCTTCCTTTTCCTTCCTGCCCCTCACACAAACTATTGCTGATCTGAAATCACTGAGGGTCCTTCATTCCGTGAGTAATTCAAGCTTGGATATCTTTAAATGAGTAATGGAACCGCATGCTTCTTCAGAACCCTGTGCTCAGAGGGGCTCTTAGGCAAAAAGCATTTTCTTTTTTTTGCTGATTATATTGCTCTGTTGGCAAGCATTTGACTTTTTCTTCTCAGTGAACTGCATACAGTATTTATTTATAGCACTCCAGAAGGTGAAGGAAGAATCTTTGCTTTCTTAACTGGGCATCAGTGGCTCACATTGTAATCCTAGCCACTCTGGAGGCTGAGATTGGAGGATCTCAACTCGAAGCCAGCCTGAGCAAGAAAGTCTGTCAGACTTTTGTCTCCAATTAACTAGCAAAAAGACAGAAATGGAGTTGTGCCACCGGTGGTAGAGCACCAGCCTTGAGGGAAAAAAAAACTAAGGAACAGCATGTAGGCCCTGAGTTCAGGCCCCAGTACTGCCTGTCATTCGATTAATGGAAGGTAATGAACTGTAATCATGGTCTACAGGATGCTACTGAGTGGTCTCTCCTTCTTCACACTGGCTGTTCCTCACCTTGCCAGGGGTAAGGAGGTGACATATGGTGAATGGTTCCTCCAGCCTTTCCTAGGTGTCAGAAGGGAGAGCCAGGAGAGGCTATCCTGGAATACCTCGAATCACAGTAGCGGTCACCTGCGATCATCTCTGTACGATGAAGCCTGGGATGGTCTCGAACTATCGCAAGACTTTTCTCCACTTAACTCGCCACTGGGAAAGTCAGCTCAGCACTTTCCCTCCTTCTCGCCAACTCCCAGCTCCCCATGTGCTGCTGCTAGGGATAAACTTTGCTGAAAAGCTCGTTTAGTGAATTGTGCCCCTTGGAAATTGATTTGCCTTAATGATAGAGAATGGCGGGGACTGCTGTTTTATTTAGACAGGGCCGCGGGAGTAAAAATTCTCTCTAATGGAACTGCCTTCAGCCACTGACAGGTCTTAAAAGAGTTCAGAGGGCTGAGACATTCTTAATGGTTAAAAGGGCTGATGGTTAAAATTTTCATAAACCTGTCACCACACATTTCACTGTAGTGTAGATTTTTCTAGCTTTTGAGGAATGACATGTTTTAAAAATGTTTTAGTTTGGATATTCTTCTTTTCTTTTTCTGGGATAGAACTAGAATTTGAACTTAGGGCTTCATTCTTGACTTTTTTGCTCAAGGCTTGTGTTCTACCACTTAAGCCACATCTCCGTTTCCAGCTTTTTTTGATGGTTAGTCGGAGATAAGAGTTTCTCAGATTTGTCTGCCTGGACTGGCTTTGAACCTTGGTCCTCAGACCTCAGCCTCTTGAATAGCTAGGGTTACAGGTATGAATCACCAGCACACAGCCCTTTTTTTTTTAATTGTAGAATAATACATGTACTATAAAGTTTTCCATCTTGTGATTAAGTTCAGAAATATTACATACATTTGGTCCTTACCCTCATTTCTGTTCTTACAAAGCTGGACTCTCCACCCAAGACAAAACCCTTCTTTCCGTGGGAACTTCTACCTTTATTTCCTTTAAATAGATGTTTCGGGTTAGTTCCTTTGCCAAAATTTAAATATTCTTCTTTCAAAATAAGGTCTACACTTTCAAGCTGGTGTCATCCTTCCTACTTCTTCCATGGCAAATAGACCCAGCCTTTCTCCCATCAGAATAAACCCTGTCGCCCTTGACTCAGCCTGACTGAGATCCTCCTAGGGAGAACAGAAAGAAGCCAGCTCCCTTCCATTAAGCAGAGAACACGGGGCTTTTGCTGTGGCTCTTGGGATTAAAAGTGACTCCTTTAGTTTCCAAGCCTTGCTTGTTTTGAGCTGCAGGTCTCTCGTGGCTAGTATATCAGGTAGGATGGATGAGATTATATTGCAGTGAGAAGTAGCCCTCAATGCTTAGTGGCTTAGCATTCCTTCTCAGCCCTGCGAGGTGTCTGGGGTCTGTACTCAGCCTGGTTCCTTGGGAGCCAGGTAGATGGGAGCTCTGTGGGCCCAAAGGACAAACGTGAGATGAACGGACTTTTATGCATATGTTGCTTCTACTCACATTTCATTGACCAAACCCAACTGTTGCCACCACGCTTGACTTAAAAGTCGGTCAGAAATGTCCCTGCTTCTGTTTCTCTGGAATGTAGAAAGCTCAGAATGCCAAGTGGACTATGCCACTTGGACTCTGTGCATTTGGGGCAGTCATAGGAGCTTAGAGGTCAAGATGGGTGTGTTGTGTTAGAAAAGAAACAAAACAAAAACAATTGAAAGTACAGGGTTGGAGGGGCTGGTACCGTGGCTCAAGCCTATAATTCTAGCTACTTGGGAGGTAGAAATTGGGGGATCATTGCCAGGCCAGACGTTTTTGCGATTGCATTTCAAGCAGTGGCTGGCACCGTGAGGCGCCTGTCCTGTCGGCTAGTGGGGAAGCACATGGCTCAGTGCAGTGGCATATGCCAGTCTCCCATAGTTACTCAGGAAATACAAGGAGGAGAATTGAAGCCCAGACTGGCCAGACCATTCTTAGCACGTGGAGTTTTGCTAGGGGCTGTGGATGGGGCTGCTGTGTTCATGAGTTCTCCTCAGACACTATTGCTCTGACAGTCTGGAGCGTCTTTCCCATTTGGATTTTAGTTGTGTTCATCTGCTGGGCTTTAGTGTCTCTGGGCCCCAAACACACTTTATAAGTGACTGGTTCTCTCTGGAAGATGACTTTTGCTTCACAGCCCTCCTCCTGACTGGAAACCAAGCTGTCTGTGTAATAGTACCACTTACACAGTGAGTTCCCTAAGTACCCTGGGCAGGCAGGCATGGTGGCACTTGGAGCATGGGGGAGAGTTGGGCTCTGACATGGGACTTTCCTTTTATTGATTCCTTGAAGGAGGAAGTCAGGTGCAGTAATCATGGTGTCTGGATCTGACACCTTGACCTGCTCGCACGGACACACCTGGCACCTTGCCAAGAGATGACAGCTCTTCCCTCTTGTGCCCTCCTCTTGTAGACCACCAGCCAGACAGAGCTGGAAAACTGGATCACCGCCATCCATTCTGCCTGTGCAGCCGCCGTGGCAAGACACCACCACAAAGAAGACACGCTCCGGCTCCTGAAGTCCGAAATCAAAAAGCTGGAGCAGAAGATCGACATGGATGAGAAAATGAAGAAAATGGGTGAAATGCAGCTGTCTTCAGTCACTGACTCAAAGAAGAAGAAAACTATATTAGATCAGGTACTTGTACTTTCATGTGTAGTCCCTGGCAAACTCCTGAGGTCTTTCTGAATTTTAATGTTGCTTGGGAATCATGAAACATCATTGTTTATCTCCCTGGCAGACTGTCACCAAGGCTGTTGTATTCCTTTGTTGTGTGAATGCCAGTCGTAGGGCCTGGGCACTGTTTCCTGAGGTTTTGTGCTAAAGGCCTAGGCCTCTTCCACTTGAGCCATAGCTGTACTTTGGGTTTTGGTGGCTAACTGGAGATAAGAGTCTCACAGACTTAACTGCCCAAGCTGGCTTCAAATTGTGATCCTCAGATCTCAGCCTTCTGAGTAGCTAGGATTACAGATGTGAGCCATCAGCACCTGGCTGTATCCTTATTATAAACTTTTCCTTCACCCTTTGCTCACTGAGGATTATAGGAGCTAAAGGAAACAATGTGACACTGAAGGGTAGACAGACACAAATAGAGGAGCCTTCCAGCTCTTACCAGTGGTGGGATTCAGTTGTAGGGGACTTGTGTAATTAGAAACTCTGACATTTCATCTTTCCTGTCTAATATTAGATTGACTTGGAGCTAAGGTATGCTATGGTACTCACCTCTACTTCCTTGGTTAATTTAACATTTTAAATTTAGGAAGGGAAAAGCATGTTTTTTAAAATGTATATAGCTGTCTCTTGCTATGGAAGATTGGTCCCAAGATCTTTCCTAGATACCAAAATCTGCCCTTATATAAAATGGCATAGTGTTTATGTAGAACGTACTTCCAAGATGTATATACATTAAATCATTACTGCCTTATTCATGATGCCTCATATAATGTAAATGTTACTTTGTTGATGATTCTGCCATAATCTTTAGGGAATATTGACCAGAGAACATCTGTACACATGTAGTATTTGTGACCAGTGGAGAGTTGAGTCTAAGGTTGCATGGCCTATTTGGTGTAGAGGACTGACTGTCCAGAGCTGGTTAAAAGGAAATAGACCCAATACTTAGGAGTGTATAATATATTTCATGCTAAAAAAGGTAAGTTCAGTAAAGTAAGCAGAGAGTCTTTTGCGTTGTATTCAGTTATTTTAAAGTCAGTGATAAAAAGTTAGGTGCCAGTGGTTTATGCCTGTAACCCTAGCTACTTAGGAAGCTGAGATTGAGGATCATGGTTCAAAGCCAGCCTAGGCAGGAAAATCTGTGTGAGACTCTTATCTCCAGTTAACCACCAGAAAACTGGAAGTGGCACTGTGACTCAAAGTAGTACAGTGCTAGACTTGAGCCAAAGAGCTCAGGGTAAGTGCCCAGGCCCTGAGTTTAAGCCCCATGACAAAAAATAAAAATAAAAAAAATATGTTCTAAGAAGCCTGAGGTAGCAGTATTTTACCAGTTAGGATTATAATTTGTACCTTTACAGCACAGACCTTTATAAGACTTAACATAAGATAAGGTGAACGTTTGTTTTCCCTTTTTCTCACCTTTGCCTTTCCCGGTATGTTCCCTGCTATAGATCTTTGTTTGGGAGCAGAATCTTGAACAGTTCCAGATGGACCTATTCCGTTTCCGTTGTTATTTAGCCAGTCTCCAAGGTGGGGAGCTGCCAAACCCCAAAAGGCTACTGGCTTTTGCAAGCCGACCAACCAAAGTAGCCATGGGCCGCCTTGGGATCTTCTCTGTGTCATCTTTTCATGCCCTGGTGAGTAGAAGCTAATGGATTTTTGAAAAAAAAATTCATCTTGATGCTTAATTGCTAACAGGACTTGTTGAGAGTCTGTGAAGTGTTTTTCTGGTTTACTGCTATGTGTGGCTTTCTGAATACCTTTCCTTCCAGTAGATAGAAATTTTCCTTTGAAGCTATTTGAATATTTTCTATTACTTAAGTGTTTCTTGGTGTAGCCTAACCTATTGTGCAAAAATTATGTGAAAGGCACTGTCTTTTTTTTTTTTTTTGGTTTTTTCCTTGTATGATGTTAGGGATAGACTCCACAGTCTGGGGCAATGCTAGGAAATGTGCCATCACTGAACTTCTCCCTCAGCTTCTGAAAGGTAGTGTCTTACTAGGTGTTTATAACTCTTGTTATCTTTAGGCAGTGCTGGCTTTTGAATCCAAATACATGGTTTTAATTTTGACCTTATAGATATGGTGACTGGAGGGCTTTTTCTCATACACATAAGTATATAAATATGTTCCTCCTTCCTTTCCTCTCCAACCCTTCCTCCCCTCCCCCCTCCACACACACACACACACCATATGTTGAATGTACTTCTCAGGGATCTCCTTTTACTTTAACATTGTTTGATGATTGTAAGTACCTGCTTTTTTTTTTGTTTTGTTTTCATCATTTATTTTTGTGTTCATTTTTTGTTGGTTCTCGGGCTTGAACTCAGGGCCTTGGCTGTGTCCTGTGGAGCTCTTTTGACTCAAGGCTGGCAGTCTACCATTCAAGCCACAGTACCACTTTCTGCATTTTTTCTGGTTCATTGGAGATCAGAATCTCAAAGACTTTCCTACCTGGGCTGGCTTTGAATTCTGGTCAGATTCCAGCCTCCTGAGTAGCTAGTATTATAGGCTATCAGCTATAGAGCTATCAGCACCTGGCTGTAGGTAGCTGTTGTATTCGAAGGTGAAGAACTGAACAATGCATGAGGCACAGATGTGTTAGTCAATGAAGGGAATTTCCATCTGACCTCCAGAGCACCAGATTGTATTTCTTATCTGTAATTTCATGTACTGACTAAACCATAAATACCTATATGTACCTCTGGTTCCTTTCTGCTGAAAAAAAAAATGACAAAAATCACTGTGAACAGCTGGTCCAAAGTTGACACCCACTTAAAATGTCCTGCACCTGAGCATGTTCGCTATGGAATTAAATGCGAAGTCGTGGCTTTTAGAAACTGCTTTGGAAGACCTTAGTTGGGTTGTTCTTGTCTTGCCCTGTCAGAGCTGTAATTCAGTCGGAGGCGTTTGTGTTCTTTATAAATAGATTAACATCGTCGTTCAGATAATTAGGGGTAGATTTACATTTTTAAAGAAGTCTTAAACCAATTTCAGGAGTTATTAAAACTGGCACCCTGATTTGTTCTGCTAATTGCAGCTGTGCTCTTGGCCTGCCTTGCAATGCCACCTTTCTATGTAGTTTCTGTGTCTAGGTCTGTTTATTTGAGGCCTGGATGGCAAGTTTTGTTGTTGTTTTTGGTCGGTCCTGGGGGCTGAACTCTGGGCCTGGGCGCTGTCCCTCCGCTCTTCAGCTCAAGGCTAGTGCCTTACCACTTGAGCCACAGCACTACTTCCGGCTTTTTTTCTGTTTATGTAGTACTGAGGAATCAAACCCAGGGCCTCATGTGTACAAGGGAAGCACTCTACCACTGAGCCAACTTCCAAGCCCAATGGCAAGTTTTAAACTTAAACAAATCTTTGTTCTGAATTTTTTAAAGTTTTTTTTAAAAATCTAGCTTTTTGTCTGACTATCCCAATCAAGGGAATTTGTATTCATAAGACAACTCAGAGACCCAGCTACTGGTCACCCATGCCTATAATTCTGGCTCTTCAGGAGGCTGAGATCTGAGGATTGCAGTTCAAAGCTAGCCAGGGCAGAAAAGCCAATTAACCAGCAAAAATTGGAAAGTATGGCTCAAGTGATAGAGCCCAGGTATTGAGGGAAAAAGCCAAGGGAAAGAGAACAAGGCTCTGAGTTGAAGTCCCTGTAAACCCCTTGCCCCCCCCCCCCCATACACACAGCACACAGCGCAAGAGAGAGCATATGTGAACTCAGAATGTTAGTAAGCACCATCCATAGTAAAGTTCACAAGGCCTGCTTCTTTGATAGGATTTGGAGAAAATAATTTTACCTTTTTCCTAATCTTGTGTCCTTTTTTCTTCTCTGCGATAGGCAAATAAGAGCTACTTTAATGTCCATAATTTATCTTCTGACCTTCTTATTTCCTCCATCACAGCAGCTGTGATTTGTATATACTTTGTATATACTTTGCTTTTGGTGGGAGGTGATTAAAATCTGGCCAGCTGAGGATGAGGGTAGGCCTGATAACCCAGGGATTTTGCAGAGTAATATTTAATTCCTTATGTCCAATTCTCCTTTCCTTTGTTCTTTTTCTTGCTGGCTGCTTTTAGCAATGCAAATCTCAGTGTTCGTGTGTCCCTGCCAACTTATCTTTTTTCAAGTGGGGTTTCATTTGAGACAGAACAAGTTAGGCAACTGTATTGGGTATCTGTTCCTATTTTCTGAGTTAGCCCCCATGGAACACCCTGGGCTGGGAATTTTACAGTATGATTTATTAGATTCGGACTTAATTCTTTTCCTTCTTCCCTTGTCATTTGACCTCAAAGGAACACCCCTCCTTCCCTCGCCACTGGAGTTATTCTTCAATTTAGCCTTTGTCCAGAATTTTTTTCCCTCTTTTCAAGTGGGGGTGGTGGGAGGAGGAGGTGTGAGGGTAACGGGGCCAAAGGAGGGATTTGGGGCACAATGGAAGCCCCATTCACTAGGAGAGCATCAGTAATGTGGGATGATTTGCCATAATTAACTGAAGGGTCCCGGCTGTACTCTTTGAAAAAAGGTTATCATTGTTCTTGTTTGCACAGATGAACTGAATGATAGAGTAATCAGGTGCTGGCCACAATGGGAGCCATTGTGTGGGCAGATCATTGAGAAACCCTTGTGCTCTTGTCCAGCACTTCGCCTGCCAGAATTTTTTTTTCTACACCCCTTTGCTCATTTTGAGTCATTATTGTCCTGGATGGGGGTGGGTACTGGTGCAGTTTACAAGGTCCTAGCAGATGAGAATAGTTGCTATAGAAACCTTCAATACACTGTTTGTTAAACATCCTAAACCAACTGGTCAGCTGTCAGAGTATTGTTGGGGTAGAGAGAAGGGTTATCTCTTCCATGTTTGATTCCCTGTACTACCAAGTTACTTTTATTTGTTATTACCATGTCATTTGCCTTTTAGTGTTTATTTATTTATTTATTAAACCAACAAAACATCTATCAGGCACTGAATTTTTTTTTTCTCCCTGATTCTGCGGTTTGAACTCTGGGCCTATGCCCTGTCCCTGAGCTTCTTTAGCTCAAGGCTAGCTCTCTACCACTGCGCCACAGTGCCACTTGCCGTTTTTTGTGAGTAGTTTATTGGAGAGAGAAGAGTCTCATGGATTTTCTTGTGCAGGCTAGCTCCGAAACTTGATCCTCAGATTTCAGCCTCCTGAGTAGCTAGGATTACTGGTTTGAGCCACTGGTGCTGAGCACTGAACTCTTCTTGATGAGGGTTATAACAGAGAACAACATAGATCCTGTCCTGCTCATGTGGGAAAGATGGAAAAACTAATAAGCAATAAAGTCAGCTCAGTAAGGGCAGGTAGCGGTGTGTGCTATGGAGCAGTGTTACATGTATTTACTTATATACAGTCAGCCCCAGGATCTGAAGAGCCTTGATTCGAGGGGTCCCTTGAATACCTACATCTGAGGATGATATAAGGTAGTATTTGGTAGAATATTTACAGATGAACTGTGCATATCTCCCCATATACTTTAAAACCTTAGACTACTTCTAACACCTTGTATAGAATAAGCAGATATTATATAGCATTGCTTGGGGGAAAAATACCTGTATATGTTCAGTACAGATAGGACTTATTTTTGTGTGTATGAGTGTGTATATGTGAGTACTGGGGCTTGAACTCAAGGTTTCACATTATCCTTCAGCTTTTTTTGCTTAAGGCTGTGGCTCTACCCCTTGAGCCACACTTCCAGCCTTTTGCTGGTTAGCTAGAGAGAAGAATTTTGGATTCGTTGGGCTAAACTGGCTTTGAATCATGATCCTCAGATCTCAGTCTCCTAAGTAGTTAAGGATTATAGGCCGGAGCCACCAGCATAGCCAGGTAAAAAGTCTTTTTCTGGATATTTCAGTTTATAATTAGTTATAGAAGGTTGACTTACATGGCTACCTGTATGTTTATGTGTAAGAATCTCATTGTAATCTGAGTTACTTATTTGTAAACTCACATATAAACATGAGAGTGTACAGGCATTTCTTTCTCTGGCATTTTCCATTTTAGCAATGTTTACAATAAATAGTCACGTGAACATATGTGTTGTCACTATGTTCTAATTTAATCCATTTACAACCATTGTTTACCTTTCACTTAGAAAGTGCTGTAAATAGACAACAGAAAACTGGGGATATTTTTGGGTTACCTTTGGTTTTGTGATTTGGTTTTTCCTTTTCCCAAACACTTCAAGAATAATTGTAAATTAAGATCTTTCTCATAAAAAAAAAAAAAACTCCCACAGTTATCTTGGCTGTCACTTTTTTTTCTTTTTAGTGCCCTAGTCTGAGTTTGTTATTTGTTAAATGAGAGAAAATTGCAAGATCTCTCAGCTCCCTCATCTTCCTATTTTCATCTGGGATCAAAACCCTTCTCCCTAAGACCCTGGCAGGGAAGTTGTTTTGATTGCTTTCCGTGGGGGGTCCTTGCCTGGGCCAGTTGACTCCTGGAGCTTTCTCAGTGTTTATCCTATCAATATTGCAGACCAAGGGAGGCTGCCATGTAGCTAATGTGCCCTGCCAAGGTGGCCCCTTTTGTTACCTAATACTGTCTCACCCTTAGGCTGCTGCCAGTTGGCATCTGGGATGTTGGGAGTTGCCCGTGTGGGAATCAATGACAAGTAGGTTCCAAGATATTCTCCTCCAGCAACCTAGAGCAAGGAGGGAGTTTCATTTCAAGTCAGACTTGCTAGTCCTCCTGCCACTCCTGCTTGGAGAGGGAGCCTGTGGGTGGCCCACAGAGGCCTCCTGGCAGAGGTTTCCCCCAGTTCCTGGGACTTTGCTTATAACCTGAAGGTTCTGTCTGAGATACCACTTGAGAATGATCACAGTCACAGCTTTGGATTTGGGATGGTCTCTCCTGAATGTGCTTCTGGACCTTTATAAATATCTCAACAGAATTTAGCTTAAAAAAAAATCCATGTTTTAGCTGAACTGTGATAGCTCACGCCTGTAATCCTAGTTACTCAGGAGATGGAGATCTGAGGATCATGGTTTGAAGCCACCTTAAGTAGGAAAGTCTGTGAGACTCTTATCTCCAATTAACCAGCAAAAAGCCTGACATGGAGCTATGGCTCAACTGGTAGAGTGCTAGCCTTGAACAAAAATGCACTCACACACACACACAAATAAACAAAACAAAATGAAATACATTCATAGACACATACATGCACACATGCATATGTACATACATACATGTTTTAAGACAGGCACTTGTGGCTCACATTTATAATTCTAGCTACCCAGAACTCTGAGTTCTGAAGATCCCAGTTCCAAGCCAGCCCATGGAGTAAAGTTTGTAAGTCTTTTATCTCCATTTAACCAGCAAAAAGCCAGAAGCAGAAGTATAGCTCAGGTGGTAGAGCATCAGCTTTGAATGAAAAATATCCAAGCAAAAGTGCAAGGCCCTGAGATCAAACTGCAGTATTGGCACACATGTGCACTTACATACACACACACACAGAGTCTCTAAGTTTTATTATCTATTTACCTAAATAATAGATTATGTGAGTTATGATAAAGTCTTCACCCTTTGCAGGGATATAGGGCTCTCTTGTTCTGCTGACCTTGGAAAGACTTTTGCCTGACACCCACCCGAGTCTATCCTGGTGACTAGGAATGTGGAATGCGAAGGATAATAGAGAACCTGTCCTCTGGAGGATAGTGTTTAGCCACCACAAGTAGTGTTTCTACTTACATCCTATTAATCAGAGTCTAGTCACAAGCCCAACCCCACTACAAGAAAAACAAGTCAAGTTTGACTGTCCAGCTCTGTGCTCAGCTATATTTGGGGCTTTCTGACTGAGGGAGAGGAGACAGTAGGTTCTGGTGGGGGGGGGGACAAATTACTTGCCTAATTAGGAAAATAATTTTCCATATTCTAAAAGGTTGGAGAGATTCTGATGGAATTGATAAGGGAGATTGGGGTTTAATAAGGAATTGCAGTAGTCCAAATACACCATTTTCTCACTGTTTTTTTTTGCTGCCCTTCAGCCTGTTTTTCATGAAAATGCAGACATGAAAGTGGAAATGTGGCTTAAGTGGTAGAGCACCAGTTGTGAGTAGAAAAATCAAAGCCAGAGAGTGAGCCCTGAGTGCCAGCCCCAGTACAAAACAACAACAACAACAAAGAAAAAGAAAAAAAGAGACATATTGTGTAGCATTTAGAGAGAATCTCAAGAAAGCGGGGCTCACAGATCTTGACACTGTAGTTCGATCTTATATAACTGCAAGGCCAGCTAGCTCCTGCAAGAGTGAAGAACATATGTATTTTATCACTATTTTATTATGTGTGCTGTGGATTTATGGTTATGGAATCTGTCAACCTTTCATTATCATTTTGAATCTACAAAGAAGCCAAAAGGCCCAAGTATGTGTGAGTCACAGATCCAGTGCTTTGGACATTGGGATCAGTGGCTGGAAGGACAGGATGGTTTGAGGAAGAATGTGAGGGAGTCGGGGCCTCAGGGCTCACTTGGCTGTTCTAACAGATTCCTGCCATGGCTGCTTGTCTTGTTATTATCAGGTGGCTGCACGCACAGGTGAAACTGGAGTGAGGAGACGTACTCAGGCCATGTCCAGATCCGCAAGCAAGCGAAGGAGCAGGTTTTCTTCTCTTTGGGGTCTGGACACCACTTCCAAAAAGAAACAGGGACGCCCAAGCATCAATCAGGTAGGCTGTGAAGTGGGAAAGGAAACCTGAAGATTGTTTTGTGATTGGCCCATGGTTGATCTGTGACTGGTCTGTCTCCATTGGGCATGTATTTGTGTTGTTTTATTGACAGAGTGATATTTAAAATCAACTAGTTGACTCAGAAGAAATTACTTGTGCGAGACACTTCTAATAAAACCTAGATTCCCATAGCATAAAGCCCTGCAATTAGTCTTATTGCCCAGCCCATCTCTACTCGCATCCTTTCAAGCCCTGGTTAATTATAGACCCATAGAACGTGCACAGTTCATCCTACATCCTCAGAAAAGAGGAGGGCTGGATGGCAAAGAGAAGAGGACATTGGAGTCTTCTTCAGCTGCCTCTGGGGTTAGATCCAAGGCAGGCTCCCAGGAAATCTGGATAGTTTCTTTGCCCTTGACTTTCTCAGATTGACATTGAATAGGTAGCTCCTCTCCCTGTGGGAATGCAGAACCGGGGACCTGAAAGTGCGCACTCAGTGCCACGCCCCTGCCTGCTCAGAGACAGCACTGGCAGGGGTCTTGGTACTCATGAACAGCACAACCTGTACCCGTGCATCATGGGCCACTGGTGCCCTGCTGATTTCACCTTCCCTGTTGCTTTTGCTTCCTTACTAAGGCCACTGTCCTGTTGGAATTGATTCATGTTTCATCATTGCTGTCTATCTTTGTCCTCAGACTCCGACCTACAGGGACTAAAGGATAGATTTGTTCTCTTTTTGCAAAGAGAATGTCCAGTTCATGGGCTGCAGTGGCTGGACAGCCAGACACTGAGCATTTTGGAGGTCATGACTAGGATGGCCCATGTGACAGTCCCTGTGTCCCTGTGCGATGTGACATCCACATTCACTGGCTTGCTGCCTCAAAGACTCCTCCCTGCTTGCTCAGCAAATCCCAGCTATTGGTGTCCTAAAAGGAAGTTCACGCATTTTATTTTGTTCTCTTGTGTTCTGTTTTATTTTTGTGTGTGCCTGAACGCAAGGTCTGGGGTGCTGTCCCTGAGCTTTTTGGCTCATGGCTACTGGAACTCTATCGCTTGAACCACAGCTCCACTTCTGGCATTTTGGTGATTAATGAGTGTCTCACAGACTTTTCTGCCTGATCTGGCTTCAAACTGCAATCCTCGGATATCAACCTCCTGAGTAGCTAGGGCTATAGGCATGAGTCACTAGTTCGTGCGTGCGCGTGTGTGCGTGCGTGCGTGCGTGCATGTGTGTGTGTATTTTGTACTGAGGATTGAATTCTGAACCTGCCAGACAAATGCTGTTACTTATTCTATCCATAAGAAATAAACCTTTAAAGAGATTCATTCTGGACATCAGTATCCTAAAGTTTCTTAGCTGACTCACATCCTCCATTTTTCCATCTTGATGGAGTCTGCAGGAGAACAAATGGGCAAATGATAAGAGCGCGTGAGACTGAACAGTTCTACTGTTCTGTTCTTTGAGGACAGAACACAGAGGGTTTTTTGGTTGTTGTGGTTGTTATTTTTTGTTTTTGGCTGTCTTGCTCTTATGTAAATCTGAAGAAGCAACTGTTTGGAGAAAGGCCCTCACAGAACAGACTCAATATTTTATTAAATTTCTGGAGGCCATTAACACTCAGCATGTCACCCTGCTTTGGGGACGTGGTGGTGTCATTTTCTATGTATCTCTCACAACAGATGCCTCAAAGCACCACTATAAGTCTAAGTAAAGACCTTGAAGATTTGGACTATCAAAACACTTATTTCATATGGTACCAGGTTCTGTTTTAGCCTTTTTTGCTTCTGAAATTTATGACTGAATTTAAGAGAATTTTTCATAAATCAAAGGACAATGTAGTCTTTTTTTTATTTTTTGGGGTCCGGTCATGGGGCCTGAACTCTGGGCCTGGGTGCTGTCCCTCAGCTCTTCAGCTCAAGGCTAGCGCTCTACCACTTGAGCCACAGCGCCACTTC